GAAAGAGAAAGAGAAAGAGAAAAGAGAAAGAAAGGGAAAGGAGGGAAAGAAAGGGAGAGGGAGAGAGGAGAGAGAGAGAGAGAGAGAGAGAGAGAGAGAGAGAGAGAGAGAGAGAGAGAGAGAGAGAGAGAGAGAGAGAGAGAGAGAGAGAGAAAGAGATACACAAAAAATCCATGATCTACTGCATAATTTTCGTGATAATTTCTGTGTTTATTCATTTGGACAATCTATGCTTACAAAACTTTAGCACAGACATATAGCTTTATCTAATAGTTCCCGAGGCAGAAAGAAAATCTGCTGTTGGCATAATGGCACTCACACACGCAACTTCTGTGCCAGGCATAAATCAGTGTTGACATAAATCTTTCTTCACCCATCTGTCGCCCCCCCCCCTCCCGCCCCCCGTTCCCTTCCTTCTATAGCTTCGTTGCAGTTTTTCTTCCCCTTCTCTCTTTTTCTCTTTCCTTAATCTCTGTTTCTCCCTCTCTCTCTCTCTTTCTCTTTCCTTAATTTCTGTCTCTCCCTCTTTCTCTCCCTCTCTCTCTCTCTCTCTCTCTCTCTCTCTCTCTCTCTCTCTCTCTCTTCTCTCTCTCTCTCTCTCTCTCTCTCTCTCTCTCTCTCTCTCTCTCTCTCTTTTCTCTCTCTCTCTCTCTCTCTCTCTCTCTCTCTCCTCTCTCTCTTCTCTCTTCTCTCTCTCTCTCTCTCTCTCTCTCTCTCTCTTCTCTCTCTCTCTCTCTCTCTCTCTCTCTCTCTCTCTCTCTCTCTCTCTCTCTCTCTCTCTCTCTCTCTCTCTCTCTCTCTTTTGCTATATCTTTTCTATCTCATTTTCTTCCAGTAAAGCTTACTGGTGACCTTACCTTTCCCCTCTTTCTCTTCTTCTTTTTCTCCCCCCTTTCTTCTCTCTCCACTCTTTCTTTCTTCTCTTATTTCCTTTCCCTTCTCCCTATTTCTCTTCCTCGATCTTTCCTCCTCTCATTACCCTTCCCTTATTTTCTCTTTCCTCATTTCTCTGTCTCTTCGTGTCTCTCTCTTTCATCCAATTCTTATCTTCCCCTCTCTTTCCTTTCCTCTCCTTCCCTCCATCTCTCTCTCTTCTCCCTTCCCTCTTCCTTCTCCTCTCTCTCCTTCCCTTCTTGCCTCAATCTTTTTCCACCCCTCCTTCTCCTTCCCCTCTCATTTTCTTCTCTTTTCCTTCTTCCCTCCTCTTTTTCCTCCCCTCCCTCTCTCTTCTCTCCCTCCTTCCTTCTTTCTTTCTTGCAACCATCCCCCTTTCCCTTCTCCTCCTTCTCTGCTCTTTCATCCCCTCCTCCCTTCCCTCCTTCCCTTCCCTTCACTCTCCTCCCCTCCCTCCTTCCCTTCCCCTCACTCTCCTCTCCCTCCTTCCTTCCACCCCTCACTTCTCCCTCCCTCCCTCTTACTCTTCTTCTTCCAACCACCCGTCTTTCTCCCTCTCTTCTTCCCTCCCTCCTCCCCTTCCCCTCACTCCCCCCCTCCCCTCCTCTCCCTTCTCCCCCCCCGCCCCCCCCCCCCCCCCCCCCGTAAGGGTCTGCATGCACGATTAAAACGCTGCATGCGGTTTATGTGCAAAGATGATACATGCGGACAGTTTGCTCTTGCTTCAGTCTCACGCGGGAAGCTTCCTCGCGCCTCGGTGACCTTGTTAGCTCAAAAGAGTTTTATAAAGAGGGAGGATAAAAATAGAAAGGAGAGAGAAAAGAAGGATTTCCGAGAATAGGAAAAAAAATGGGAAGAAGTATGTTTCCTTTTGGTTAGGGTAGCTCGAGTGCTTCGAATTCTTTCTCTTTCTCTCTCTTTACCTTTCTCGCTTCTGTGTCTTTGTGTTTGCCTTTGTCTGTCTGTCAGTCTGCGTCTCTCTCTCTCTCTCTCTCTCTCTCTCTCTCTCTCTCTCTCTCTCTCTCTCTCTCTCTCTCTCTCTCTCTCTCTCTCCTCTCTCTCTCTCTCTCTCTCTCTCTCTTCTCTCTTCTCAGTCTCTCTCTCTTCCCCCCTCGCTCCCTCCTCCTTCCCCCCCCCATTTTTTTCTCTCTCGCATTCCTCACATTCTCGACCATTTTCCCTGCGATCGCGATCTGTCACGGCGGTTCCTCCATCGCTGCTTCCCTTTCGCCATCCCGACCTGCGGCAACAGCGAGCAGCCATGTTTGTAGTATCTGAGATAAAGCTGGGGGGGGGGGTGGGGGAGTAGAGAGGAAGAAGAGGAAAGAAGCGATAAGGGAGGATAGGAGGGAAGAGGTACGGGGGTGGAGAGGAGAGCGAGGGAGAGAGAACGGGTATGTTGATAGATAAATAGACAGACAGACATATAGGCAGATCGATAGAAAAAAGAAAAGAGACAGAAAGCAAGAGAGAGAAAGGAAAATAGAACAATTTGGATATGCAGTATAAATATAGTAATAGTCATAATAAGGCTAGCATAATCATGATTATAGTGAAAAGTGATTCTACTACTACTACTAGCAGCAATAGTAGTAGCAGTAGTAGC